TCATCTCTCATCTGTTCTCACATGGCTTCTCATTTCCTGTCCTCTCTCATCACCATCATCATCCTCGTGTCTGAGCTCACCTCTGTGAGGCTGCAGTAATTCTGATGTCACATCCACCTGCTGACCTCAGGCTGCAGGACATTCCAGCCCATTTCATTCCTCTTTTTGCATATGGTTGGGCGTTCTAGCCCAGTGCCACCAGATCTGCGGCCGGTGTCTTGTTTAATCAACACTGATGAATATTTGATGGTGTGGTGGTGAGCACAGGGGTGGCCCAGGCCGCTTCTCTCATTATCTACACAGACACACACACACATCCTCCGTCTCATCCGACACACATACACACACACAGCCTTTAAGTCTGGAACACGCACACAAAGTTTCAAACTTCCACTAGACTCAGGCTGATGAATATATTCAGTCATTCATCGGCGGTTCAGGCTTATCCAGATTGAAATGTGACGACTCAATGAGTTTATAGTGACACAGTGTTGGCCCGTCCTGTCAGATCTTGTTTGGGATATGTTTCATGCATAATGTATCGCATTAGGGCTATCTTTACCTCTGCGTGCAGACATCTGTGATCGATAAGCCATTCATTGGGATAAATGATCAGCTGCCTATTTTCCCCATGTAAAGATCTGTTGAAGTTTCTGCTAAAGCTGTTTGATGTCATTCTACAGGCAGTAATGTTTGATGATTCAACTGCTGTCTTAATATCATCAGTGGTTTAGCAGAATTAAGCAAAAAGTTGAAATGAGATGGCTCTTATGATGTAGTGGCATAATTTTGACATGGTATTATAATTAATAAAAACAATTACATTTTAAAAATTATATTAAATATTAAAAATGTCTATAATCTTTAAAGACTTTGTCATTTATCTATCTATCTAGCTATCTATCGGACTGGAAAATATGATTTTTGTGCATTAAGAAGAAAATTTGTTCTTTCATAGCTTAATGGAGTTCTCAGTTAAGACTCATTGAGACAACTGTTAAGAGAAAGTGAGAGGATAGAGCTATAAAATTAATTTGGATAGATCGTTTGGTCTTTGAAGAGAAATGTGTCTTCAAATGAGTCCTTATTGAACTCTTTTGATTGCAGACTTTTACAAATCTGAGCACAGTTTGAGACATTGTTGAGATCTCTTTCGAAAGGAGAGACGTATGAAATTACTGGGGTCGTTTTCTCAGAGAAATTTGAAAAGGAAGAGCCTGGAGCAAAAGTCTCCAATTGTTCTCCATGCATCTCATTGTTGTCTATTTTTCTTCCCTATTAGAAAGCATGTTTGCTTCTTTTTTTTTTTTCTTCTTCTTTTTTTTTCTAAATTGATTTAGAGATGTATAATAACATCGCCACACTTTTCCCACACTCTCTTTGTGCAATCAAATGGCTTCAAAACTCCATGTGAAGGGCCCATTTGTAAACAGTGTCACCCAGAGCTGGTTTGTAAATATCTCCACGCTTTGCTGAAGAGGGATTGCTGGAACAAACGATGAACACCAGAGGCAAAATGAGGATAATGATGAGGGGCGAGTGTGTTCAATAGAAGGTCAAAAAGTGCAGGGCCCGGGGCCATGAGAGCGTTAAAGAGACAGGATGAGAGAAAGCACTTGACATTTATACAGCCCATCATAAAGAAACATACTGACAGCTACTCTAGCAATCCAATGGGAGAGTTGGATCAGCCACAATTCTCACGTGCTTAAAGCTATAGCTGGATATTGTTTGGCAGGAACCATGCTGGCTTTTTAATTTCTGTCAGTTTGTTCTTGAAGGGTGTGTTCGCTTCTGGAGTCGACCTGTCTGCGATAGAGCAGCATTTGATGCGCAGATAAATGCAGAGAGCCGAGCAGGTTTTGATCTGCATAAAGACTTTAACCTCTATTTCCTCTCAGCTGCGGGTTTGGAGGGGGGGTCAGCCTTGCTTATCAAATATTTTTCAACTTAAATGACGGATTTATTAAACAAATAGCTTTTTGGTCTGACTCTGAACCCCTTGTGATTGAAATATGCCGTTGTGTCAATAGCCTGCCTCCCCTCATCGCTGGCGAGATGCTGAAGATCACTGAATAAATACAAGTTGGAAATGAACACAGATCCAGAGGATTCGCTCTCCCAACCCCCTGTTTGACATTTCCGTCCACGGGCCATCCTTCATGGACATGGTTAGAACCAATACAGAGCCGTGCATTTGCTCTGTGTGCACGTGTTCCACATTAAACGGGCTGCTTTAGTTGCTACAGCGGCCAAATTGTTAATTACATGTTTAAAAAATAATAATAAATGGTTAATGCCATCATGTAGTCATATAATAGATTATTTGCTTATTTAATTTTTTATTTTTAGTAATATAGTGTAATTTATCATATGAATAACAAAAATGTCACATATTGGCTGTATTCATTTGCCCAAAAATGTAAAATAATTGTTTTCTTCAGTCAAATACCTTAGTCCAATAGGGAGTCTCTCCTGGATAAATCTAAGGTTAATAAGTTCACATTTGGATTTGATTTATTCTTTAGTTTAAAAAAAAATATTTTAAAATAATCAAAATCTATAATATCTAGATGGGTTGATTTCTGCAGAAAATAGATCATTTTAATTTTTTTTTAATACTAATGATCACGATTTGATCAGAACCATTCTCACTGCTCTATTAATTCATGCATTTAACCGTGTAAAACCCTATACAACATCTTTAACTTTCCCCGATTGCTCCCCGATGTTTTTTTCTCTTTCACATCATTCCGCAGAGTGTTTCTCTTTTTGCTTTCAAATGGGTTAAGCCGGTGTTCTTGTTGTCGCTGTGTGTAGCAGCTGAACTTTAAGGGTGGGATGCTGTTGAGTTGTGTTGATGAAGTATCTCTTGATTAATAGATCCATGAGGCGTTCGGCCGAGTAAAAACCCGTCCTCTTTTCCACAGCCTTCGCTTCAGTTTTGAGGAAAAAATACGCAGAGTTTTCGTCTGCTATTAGATGGAGATCTAATGTAACACTCATGTTACCTCATTTAGCAGACACGTGCATGGCCAAAAAATTCCATTTGTTTGACACGCTAACATCCCATTAGGGCGCCGATAACAATTACCGAGCTTTTTAATTAGTGTCTTGTTGTATTCCGTTTATTAATTTTCCAAACCACAGAGCATGAATTATTTAATAAACCGTAGTAAGGGTATTTAAAATTAATGCTCAAGTAGAATCATGGCCGAAATGGTGCGGCATTTATTAAAAAGTATCACTAATATTATTCTGTTTTCATCACTGTTTATTATTGTTATTATTATTATTATTATTATTATTATTATTATTGACCGTCTTGTCTCTTATTTACTATTTTGTCTGCAATTTATTCTGTTAAATTGAAGACATTTTCCTGTTAACAGTTAAAAACTTGAATTTCGTTATTTTAAAAAAAAAAGTTTTTTGCTGGTCTAACGGAATGCACAGTCTAGACTGAGAATTCCAGATCATGGAAATGAAGAGAAATAAAATGTATAAATAATTCATGTTTCCGGAGTAATGACTGTATATCAAAGATGTGCGCTGCTAAGGAAGCCAATCATACCAATGTAAGAGATTAAAAGAAAGAAAGAAAGAAAGAAAGAAAGAGAGAAAGATCGAAAAAGAAAGAGGCGAAATGTTTCTGGATCGATTTTCTCTTTCAAAACACACGAGGTTTGGGCTAATATTGTTTTTTTGTTTGTTTGTTTGTTTGTTTTGCGCCATTGCATGTATTACGTTTTAATTATGGCATAAAATTTCTGGGTCCATCGTTTCGCCGTTTTTTCCTAATAGTGTTTTACGAAAATTGTATGTATTTTGAATTTAATTGTGCAGTGCACTATTTAAAAAAAAGGTTATTGATAGCGGTGGGTATGTGCTGATAAAATTATGAATCGTAATAAAAATGAATACATTTTACATTTCTCGATGTGTAAATGTAAATACTACATTTGGCTGAATATGTCTGAGAACGAAAAATGTGTCTGTTTGTGCTGTAGAATAAGATTCTCATCAAATACACCTCAATGACAGACTCGACTTTGATTTTCCATCTTTTATTTAGAAGATTGCCGAGACTTGTGTCCCGGCAGCTGGATTTGGCTTACAGAATGGAGAAAAGTTTGGATGATAAGATGGTAAGACAGCAGACTGTTGGACAGGTGCACAGGTATGACAGAGTTTGACGTCTCGTGATGCGCACGTGGCCACTGTTTGTAAACATACTTGTGCACAAAATAAAAATCATTACAACTCTTTTCAGGAACAATTAACACGACAAACAACGTTGTGTCTTTATGTGAAAACAGGCATTAAACAGTGACTTACACCATCCACAAAGGTCTACCAGTAGATACTCTATGTTATGCTTGGTATTTTTTTTTTTTCAATGCATAGAATGTTTGCACTGCAAACCAAAGTATACAAACCAACGAAATAATATTTTAGGACAATTTTCCTTTGGAATGTAAGTATAATCATCTTTATCATGCGAGTTGACTAATATCCGCAGAGGAAGAATTCTGATTTGCCAAAATAATCATAATAATAAAAATAAATAGAAAATAAAATTGAGTTTTGCACGGTGAGCAAGTGTCATTTGTACGTATATTTATATATATACAAAAGCATTTGAATATATCTAACCAATCTAAATAACAATAGATTTCAGTGCAATTTCAACAAATACGAGCGGTGGTTGCCACCTTTATTATTTCAAAGGGACTCTGTATAATTTCCTTCGTTTTCTTGAGTTGTGTATTCATCAGAGCAGACCTTTGAAACACTGAATGATCACATTAGTTCATCAGCAAGACTGTGAAAAGGGGATCTGCTTTGAACACATCTAATAATCAAAAATATAGCAGTTCCCTGTACGAATGAATAAATACACAAATATGCCGAACATAAATAAATAAATAAATAGGATAGAGTTAAACGATGAGGTAATCCATCAATGGCTATTTTTCGTCATTCATTGGGGGGGGGTGTATCTAAGTAGAGTTGAACCCCAGAAAAGTAGTTCATCTGGATTACCTGTTATTTGCATACTTCACATTCACCAGTACAGTGAAAAGAAACATGAGTTGTGAAAATAAAACGGTACTAATCATGAGCACACGCGTTTGAGCCAAAGCGATGTTCCTTGGTCCCCAAAAGTCAGTTTCTTTTTTTTTTCTAGAAGTAGTCCATCAGTGCGCCGCGGAAAATTTCAACCTCTTCTGTTTTTGTCTTTGGTTGCAAAACCATACTCGCACCACGTTCTTTTTGAGGTCCAATTTCTCAGCTATAGCTGCGATTTTCTCCGACGACGGCCGGGGCTGGACTGAGAAATACGCCTCCAGAGATCGTTTCTCCGGGGCCGCTATGGAGGTCCGCTTGCGCTTCTTCTCGCTGCCGTTGAAAATGTCGGGTTTGCTCATTTTCTCGCGCTGGGCGCCCTCGGCCTCCTCCAGCCACGCCTGGAGGATGGGTTTGAGCGCGATCATGTTGTTGTGAGACAGAGTTAGAGACTCGAAGCGACAAATGGTACTTTGGCTCAGGCAGCCCACGCCTGGGATCTTCAGGTTGGCCAGCGCGCCCCCCACGTCCGCCTGAGTCACCCCGAGTTTGATCCGCCGCTGTTTGAAGCGCTCCGCGAACGCCTCCAACTCCCTCGGGTCCGTGTCCGAGTCGTTAATGGAGAGCAGTCCGTTGTTGGCGAGTCCCGGCGCGCCCTGGTGCGCACCGCCGTGGTGGCCCGGTAAGAGGCCGTGGTGAGTGAGCGGCGAGTTCATGTTCATAGCAGCCTGGTGGGACAGGTGGGTGAGCCCGTGCATGTGGGAGTGCAGGTGGGCCGACGTGGAGATCAAGCCCCCGCCGCCGCCGCCGCCTCCGCCGGCCCCCTCGTGCGCGCTGGGCATCAGCGCGAGCGACGGCGAGCTGATGTGCTCCATGAGGTCGGGCGGCTCCAGGTTCTGGTGGTGGTGGTGATGGTGGTGGTGGTGGTGGGCGAGTGGCACGGTGGAGCCAGACGAGCATGGCACGGTGTTCATCGTGTGGTACGTGGCGTCGGGCTTGTACGGGTGACTCTTACCCTGGGACACCGCGATGTCCACGGCCGCCAGAGCTTCGGCGCGGGCCAGGAGCGTCTCATCCAGACTGGCGAAGATGTTGCTTTGTAGCTGGAGTCGGAGAGACGGGGAGAAAGAGAAAGGGGAGATGTCAGCTGGGGAATAGTGTCAACACATAACACAGAGAAGATTCCTTTTAAGAGGCTTCCAGTCATAAAAATGAATACAAAAAAGGGTGAAGCCTGAGCCTTCAGTGAGCATGCCTTCAGAAAAGATCACAGGCGTGCAGATGATTGCTGTGGAATACATGAAAAAAACATTAAGGCAGTATTTGCGCCTCCAGCGCTCCTCCTCGCGCGCGCAGGAGAACGCGGGAGGAGAAAAGCAGAAGTTTTGGAGCTCGTTTACCTGTGGAGTCTGCAGGCAGGCTCTCCTGATCGCCTCCGAGCTCGAGTGCAGAGTTGTGTACTTGTGCTCTGGTAAGCTGGGATGCATGGCGAAATGGTGCTGTTTGCTGTTCATGGACATCATGTTTGCGCGGGATCCGGCTCAGATAAAGTGCACGAAAAGAGGACAAAAAACAAAGCGAGAGTCCAGCTCCTCCCGCCTCCTTTTCTGGCGTCTCGCAACAGTCAGGCGGATGCGGTAGCGCTCGGCTTCTGATGGAACAGAGGAGATACCCGCAGTGTGTGTGTGTGTGTGTGTGTATGTGTGTGTGTGTCTCTGTTTGGCTGTGCTGTGTGTGGATGAGGAGCGGTCTTACACCTGAGTCCCTCACATCTCGTCCGACAGCCTCGCCTATTCTCGCGAGACGAGCGCGATTGACTCTCTTCTCCTCCTCTCCTCTCATCTCATCTCGTCGCGCCTCTACGCGTCTCGTGTCCTCCTCGAACTGTAAATCGGCCTAACGACGGTGAGGGGGGCTTTCTTCCATACCTGTGGATTCTGCGCGCCTGCGCGCTGCCGCAACTAACTTAGAATGTTGTGGCGTTAAACAGTGTGACAGTGTAACCGCTAACATTTGATATGCAAATGAGCGCTGTTTAAATATCTGACTTGTAGAATTTTATAAATAAATGTTGTAAAGCACATTACATAAAAAATGTCCAAAACAATCAGACACTTTTTGTTTACTTAAACTAATTGTTTAAGATAATTGGTACAATTTTTTTTTAATATATATATAATTTTTAAATATTAAAATGTTTACAATAAGCATATTTGTTCTTATGATATGGATAATTAAAATGAATTAAAATCGATACATGAAAATATATTAAACAGGGAAATCATTTAATCAATTTTAATCGTTTGCATAGATAACAAAGCATCAATAAATTGTAAATGTTATTCATTTCGTATTTGTTTATTTCAGTTTCAGAAGAATTTGCAAGCCTGGATATTTATATTTTATGTTTATATAAAATAAAATAAATGGAAAGAAAACGAATAAAAATATTACATAAATGCATAGCTTAACTAAAATCGTTTTCGACATTTCATAGGCTATGCACATTACAAATCACGTAAATATTACATTTCTAGACATCAAAATATAATTTGTGCGTATTTATATCAGTTTCAGAAGCGTAATTTGTATTTGAATATTTACATTTCGCTCATGTTAACTCAAGGCATGGTGGCATTGCCTTGATTGATTACGCAACTTTAACTTTCATGTATATTTCACTAAACTCTAATCAGGCATGAATTTTTAATCGCCTAACGCTTCTAGTTGGAGCTAATGAAGTGTTAATTCACTAGCATTAATTAATTCTCTAAAAGACTGTGGAGGTGGATATTAAATAGATTTGTTTAGTATTCTGGTGATGACACAGGAATAATTCACGATTAAACACAGAAAGACATGTTTTTGCATGCACTATTATTAAAATCATGACAATTACAGTGTTTGTCATAACAATAAACCATGAAACTACTTGCAGATGTGAAAAAATGAAACCATTAATTGTAGACAAACAACATGTTTGTTTTATTTAGTCAACATCCAGGTACAAAAACATTTACAGAAATATTTGAAAAATAGAAAATGGCTTAATATTTTCAACCAAATGCACAAATATCATTTATTCTTTCCACAGTTGAAATTCCATAGCAAAAAAAAAATGTTTCATTTCAAGAGAAAAGCGTAATGTTAACACCTTCTCCCGTCAGGATACTGAAATGGTTTTTATAACATATAGTAACATCATCCAGCACACACTGCCGTCATAATAATGAACAGTGAGGCAAATTCTTAATAAAAAGCCCTGAGGGAAAAGAAAGGCTGTTAAATCTCGTTGAACTCCTAAAAAGTCACTGAGAAGTAAACCCACTGAATCAGATAAAAGTGGAGACCATGCTGGAAAATACTTGAGATGCTTCTGCTTCTACTTTAGTTTTGAGAGTTTCGATGGACTGGAGATGGACAATCCTGGGGGACACTTGCGCTTGGTGGGCTGTGTAGGATTTTCCACCATAACTCCAGCTCTGTCATTGAACTCAACAGCTGAAGCATCCTCCTCTGAAGCCGTAACAGCATCACAATGGGTGGTCTCCTGAGTCAAAGATGCGGTTTGGTGCTCTCTCGCTGTTCCAGGATCAGCAAAGAGGTTGCTACAGAAATCCAGTTCTGGTATTTGGGTGGCATCAAAGTCTGGAGATCGTGATGAAGATGATGATGCCAGAGGAAGGTGAGAGACCTGACTGCTGGAGCTCTCACCTTCAGCCATCATAGAGTCCAGCTCAGAGATCTTGTCCAAGTACGCCGCATCCATAAAAGCTTCACTGTTACCCAAAGGGTCCTTGGACCGCTTGAACTCCTCTCTATTTTCATCCAAACGATGAACTTCCAAACTTTGGTTGACTGAGGATGAGCTGGTTGGACCCTGGCAATCATCAAAACTGGGTCTTCTCAGGTAAGTGAGAGGTCTGAGACCTAACTTTCTGTCACTACAAACCGCAGGACTCTTCAAGCTCAGAGATCTGAGAACTGAGGAGTGTGTAGAAGGAACCATAACATCTTTGAGTCCATCCTTCTGTGGAGTCAAGGTCCCTCCTAGAAAACCTACCCTTTGGCGCACCTCAGATGTTGTCAGGAGGCGCCCGTGGTTGTTGGGGAGCTCTGAACACTTTCGGTCCAGGTCTGTACAAACAGAAGTTTCCTCCATTTCACTCAGGCTCCTTCGCATCAGGGCGATTCTTTCAATCCCTCTGTTTTGAGTCCCTCCAGAGGCAGCGTTTGAACAAACACCTTCTTCAGACTTAGGGCCGTCCCTCTGGTTCTGGGCTTCAAGCTCTTTGATGTATTTATCGCTGCGCTCCAGAGCTCTTTTCAGCTGCGCCACGTCCCGCTCATACTGATGAATTTTAGCCTCAAGAGCTGCGACGGTATACCTGCCAAACCTCAACGTAAAACACAGACAAACATAAATGAGATCAATTTTGTACATCTGAGTTACTAATATTGTGTAAATATACATAAATATAAACTAAATAAATATGAATAATCTATTCGTTGTTGTAATATTTCAATCTAACTCAAAATTCAATTCACAGTACACCTCACCAACATAACATTATGAACACAGTGTGTACTTTTGAGGAGATCTGCTGTCCACTTCGGCTTTCAAGTGCATGTTTTCCTGGATTAGGTCAAAATTTTGGGAACGCAGAGTTTTGTTAGCCTGAGGGAAAGAAGCATGCTGCTTTTAGAAATACTTTTTTTATTTTTAAGCACAGAACACAAATAACTCCATTTCCCATATTTCCAGTGGTCAGTGAAAATCTAGAGAACAGCTGGGAATATATATATTTCTCCTTATATATATATATATATATATATATACAGTGGGTACGGAAAGTATATTATATTATTCATAATATTTTTTTTTTTAAGTATGTGCATCTATTTATCCATTATTAAAGCCACAGATATACATAAAATAGTTTAATAATGGCAAATGAGACATTCAATTTCTCACATTAAATAAACAATAAACACTTCATTTCATATATTTTCTCAGAATGTACTACAAAATATTTGAAAACAAAAAAATGTGCATTATTCACTGACAAGAGACAGTCAATTTAAAAAAAAATGAAACTCTACACCTTCAGTTAAATGAGCACAGTCAATGCATATTATCTTAAAATGGTTAAATTATGGGGTTATATTTCCTTTTTTTGACCAATTTTGTAATTGTATTCAAAAAAGCAATCACATTCATACTTCTTTTAACCTTTCGAGGTCCTGTTTGACCTTTCTGTAGAGGTCATTGGCAGCTCTGAGCTTATTGGCCGATTCCTCCAGAGCGCTCGGGTCGACAGTGCTGGTTTCACTCTGAGGAACCAAGACTGTGCTCGGTTCCACAGCCGTCTTAAGTTGCATCTCAAGGCTCAGTTCTCTTTCAAGAGGGTTTTGATTTCATCCTGTAAGACAGTTGATTCATAAGCTCAGTGAATGAATCTTCCTGGCTTTCATTGCATAGCTAGGACAATTTCCTACATGCACATTGTGTTAAAACATGTGTTAAGTCAAATTTGGAGTTGAGTGGCTTAGTAGTTCAAGTCTGTCAGTTATGAGGAGGCCCAGATGGAATGGCCCAGATTTTTTTCACATATTTTGCACTGATTTTGGAGGGAAGTCTGCAGAATTTCGTGGTATGGATTCAAACATGGTAAAATGGGTATTCCACTCTACATTATACAGGAAATGTCAACACAGGGAAGAAAATTGTGTTCATCAAAGCATTTCATTGGGTGTTTGACTAGAAGTACCTCATATTCTCGTAAAAGCAGCTCCCCTCGAGTCTTTCAGAGGCGTCTCTTCACAGAATGACTCTCACTGGATTCACCGTCAGTTGTGGCTCCTGTGAGCATATACACACACACAAATACACGAAGAGAGACAAAGAGAGATATTTAATCACACTCATCCCACATAAAACTAACAATACATGATGGTGAGGTCGGTTGACATTACCAATTATTTCTCTGCAGGGGTTTTCTGGGGTGATGGCCACTCTACAGGTGGGACACTGACTGCTCTTCTCCAGCCAAACTTTGATGCAGTTGGAGCAGAACACATGGTTGTTGCAACAAATGACCGGCTGACGGACCTTTGAGATGTAGATCAGAGCAAACCAACAGGTAGATGCAATGTCATGACTGTTAATCTTAAATCGCACAGGATCAATAGAAACAAACAGGATAGAAAAAGCTATCTAAATATCAGAAATATAACAAAATCATCATTGCGAACAAATAATCAAATGCCTTTAATTACAATTATTTGTATTATTAAATGTTAATCATTAAATGTTTTTAACATGACATTACAATGCATGCATGTATGTTTATTTATTCCCTTTCTCCTGTTTATCCCTGTAAAGCTGCTTTTGAAACAAACTGTATTGTATAAAGCACTATATATATATATATATATTTATATATATATACCTTAGCATGCCAGTTTTCGCATCCTGCCTATGTAAACAATTTGCCCTGCCCACCTTAAACTCACACCAATCAGATCAGGTGATACATGTCAAGTACTGTGTTTGCAAATGTTTTACATAGTTTGCAGTGACTAAATATTGACACTTCCTACCTTGTCTGACTCATTTTATCTCACATCACTCTCAGGATTTCAGGGATTCAATAACTTCATCAAATGCAACAGTGTAGCCTACAGTGAGAAGCAGATGTTTAAGTAAGTGCTGGCTGGTCTTTCTTGTTATTTTGTGTTTTGGGAGAAAACCATTCCAACAAGCCTCATTGCGTTCTACTGTAGAAAATACTATCGCTGTTTTAAGTTATAGAAAATTTTTTGTCTATAATATACACCTATTATTTAAACAGTATCTTCATTCATGCAAGATAAATGAGCGGTGCACTATATTAGGTATAAATGTAGGCCTGTAATATAAATTCTGCTGTGATCAGATTGTGATCATTCTGTAAATGTGTCCTGAAGGCCATTACCACTTGGTGTTTTCATGATGGGATGTCTGTCCGATTAAAAATAATGTATAGGGTGATCAAATGGCTTAATAGCAATTAAAAACTAACTACATTTTTTTTACTACTCGGAATGCTTTCTGATGTTTTAAAAAATTGCATCTGTCCCTCCTGTTCTTCTGATGTGTCGTGTGTCTTTGTTTCAAGAGTATCATCACAACAGTGTAAACTGTTAGAGGTTTTACTTCATTTTTATTCAATCTCATAATTCATTGGTCATTGCCAGATGATGGCTTTATTATCCCATAATGACAGACCCAGTGGCTGAGCGCTTGTGAGATAACTTCATTAGCATCGAACTGATGCAAAACAATGTTGTACATTGATTGCATCAAGCGGACTATTGGTGCTGCGACTACATTACTGTCATTTGTTGCAGAAATATATTTTAAAATGTAATTTATTCCAGTGATGTAAAGCTGTTTTTTAGCATCATTACTCCAGTCTTCAGTGTCACATGATCCTTCAGAAATCATTCT